GGGGGTATGAAAAACGGGGGGTAAGAAGAACAAGGGTGGAGTAAGAAGAACACAAGGGGGAGGGGGAGAGAAAGAGTGAGGAGAAGGGGAGATGAGGAGAAGGGGGGACTGAGAAGAACACAGGGAGGGTGGGTGGTGAGGAGAACACAGGGAGGGTGGGTGGTGAGGAGAACACAGGGAGAGGGAGGTGAGGAGGACACAGAGGGGAGAGGACACTACGCACATACACACACACAATGCATCCCTACACACACAGAAACACAACATGCTTCCCTTACACACAGAGAAACGCACAATGCATCCATTACACACAAACAATGCAACACTTACACACAAAGACAATGCATCCTTTGCACACATACACAGAAACACATAATGCAAATACTTACACACACACTGCTTTTCTTACATACACACAGAAACACAATGCATCACTAACACACACTCAATGCACACACTTACAGACACACACCTTGCATCCCTTATGCATACAAACACAGATTCACACAATGCATCCCTTACACACAACCAGAAACACACAATACATCCCTTATACACAAATACACACTGCTTCCACTACACACAAACACACTGCATCACCTGCACAAACTGGTATCCCTATACACTACATACCATAAGCACACATATTAGATCCTCTACAACAGGGGTTCTCAACCCAGTCCTCAGGACCCGCTACCAGTCCAGGATTTGGGGATTACCTGGGTGTGTCTCAGGTGTTTAGAAAAAGGGAAAAAAACACCTTAGACACACCCAGGTAATCCCTAAACCCTGGACTGGTAGGGGGTCCTGAGGACTAACGTTGAGAACCCCTGCTCTACAATAACACATAACACATCCCCTACACACTCCACTCCCTGTGAGCGAACTCATGGGTGGGTGGAACATATAAGTGGACTTATGAGTGGGCCTTGTGGGCATACTCACCGTCAGGCCCTGGGGCCCAGACCTTGAGCTGTATAAGGGGCCCTCCCAAAAATGGAGCTGCTTCCAATTCTCCCAGAACATTGAATTTTGTGACCACAGTTGCAAACAGCCTCCAGAGATCCTGTTCTACACCAGACCAGTGGAGCCAAACTGCAGCCCATCATCATCCTCATTTGGTTGTAAGTAGGCAATCTAGTATATTATTAGTGACACTAATCTATAATTTTCATTACATTAAAGGGACACTATAGTCCCCAGAACGACTGGAGCTTAATGAAGTGGTTCTGGTATCTATAGCCGGTCCCTGCAGGCTTTTTAATGTAAACACACACTGTGAGCAGCACTGGCGTTAGTTCGTATGGCAGCTCATATAGGTGGGGCATTGTGATGTCACATGGGGGGCGGCAAATACAGCTGTTCCCCATGCAGCCACAGGTGCCACTGTGCTGAGAGATTGTGATTACTCTTCACTTCCTCCCAGCTTACAGAGCAGCGCATGGGAGAGAGAGGGGAGGAGGCATGATTTAATCTTACAACAAATCCAGTAAGCAAATCTTTATAAATTTGGGTGGGATCAGATCTGTTTCCACAGTTTATTGGTGTTTACTCTGCTGTCTGTATTAATATTGAGGGATTTCTAAGTAGTAACATCAGTGTGTGTCAGCAGGGCCAGCCATTGGGGTGTGCACGCTGTGCGGTCACGCAGGGTGCCATCACAACAGAGGCGCCCGGCGGACAACACAGCTCACAAGTTGGGGACACCAGCCTATTCAATTTAAACGATTCGCTGGTGGTCCACTGGTGCGCACCAGCAGTAGGTGCAGTCAGATTATAGCCTCTCCCTCATGGTTCCGACGCTCAGTTAGTGAGTCAGAGCACAGGCTCAGAGATTCTCAGCCTGCGCTCTGACAACATTGAAAGTCAGAGCCGTGAAGGAGAGGGTATGGCAAAGAGCTACTGATTAGCATAACATCAATATCCGTTATAAATCCAGGAAAAGGTGGGCACCATTGCACTGATTTGGTGGTGCAATGGGCCTCTTGACTGGTTTTGCCCCCCAGGCCTAAGGCTGCCAGCCCTCCCCTGGTAGTGTCCCGCCATTCTCTGCTTCACTGCGGACTGTTAGCTGTAGGTAGGGTGACTGGGATGAGTATCACCGCGTGCACCTCCTGTTTTGCCCAAAGTCGCTCCAGGACAGCATCCAGGTATGTCAGGGTTCGTGACTGCACATCCCATGTGTCAGCTTGAGTCAGCACTAGGCTTCGCACATGAACACGTGGGGCAGCCATCCTGTGAAGCGCAGTTTGCAGGGTGAGATGCCTCGTTATGCAAGTCTGGTGTGTCTCGAAACCAGCGGGGGCAGATAACCCCCACCGGCCCACAGGGGGGGAGTACAGGGCCCGAAATGCTACAGACCCAGACGGGCCATGGAACGGAAATTTTCCGTCCAGCATTCTTAATGGGAGTGCTGCAATGACGGAAAATTTCCGTCCAGCATCCTTAAGGGGTTAACTAACAGACCAATAGATATTCAAACAACTTAAGCAATAACATCATCTCACTGTATATTTCTCACTCTTTTCTATTGACTAAATAACTGAACACACTTTACCATAAAATTCTAACCATTTAATAGTAAATGATTACAAAAAACATGTACTGTAACGATAACAGAAAATGGAGAAGGCCTATATCATAAAATAAACTGATAATACTGTTGCATATTTGTATTAGCACTACACTACAATATATGGTATTAATACTCAAATACTTTTTTTAATCCCGTAAAAGATCAAGACCTAGCAAAATCCATTTATATCCTATGATGTTTTGTATGTCATGTTGGTCTATGCTGTCTATGGTCCTTAAGGGGTTAAGGGACACTTCCTTTTTCATTTTTGTTTACATTTGAATTCTTGTATTTGGTATAAATAAATTCTGTGTTTAACTCTTTCTTCCAACACTGCCAAACAACTGAATGCTTTGCAAACAGACTTTTAAATGTATAAAGAATAACGTTTAAAGAATAATTTTATTAAAGACACAGAGGCTCCTATCATGCTTTCTCTTTCCTTTAATTTCCCTCAGCAGCGAAGAGAGAGATGTATACAGAAGAGAAAAAATAAACATAACATTGCATCAGCTAGTGGGGTAGTATTCCTAACCCAAGTTTTTAAAGGTGTATTGCTGTGTTTTGTTTTTTTTTTGTCTTATACACGATGGGTTGTGTTTACACCTTTTTTTTATGTGGATTTGTTTATGTTATGTGTATTTGGTTTTCAATAAAATCTATTACCATTTATGATATTTTAACAATAGAGGTAATTCCAGTCAGGTAGGTCCCATCTATCTTTTATTTGGAGACCTAACCTCACTTTTTCTATTTTTCAAGTTTTTAAAATTCTGTTTTGATTTGCCTTATGTTCTCTCCTAATAGCTATAGTTGGGTGGCTGGATTAAGCAATCCTTACCACCTTGTTATTTCTGTATACTTCCCTACCATAGGTTTTTTCGTACGTCTTAGTGACCTATCCTCCCCCTATAACCCAAAAGGCTGGTTATATAGTCCTATATTACCACATAATTGATTATCTCACACCCTCTGTGACATGACAGGCTGTACAGGATGGCGCGCAAGAACCGCGCAATAGAGCCACTGGTCAGGAAAAAGCGGCAAGACATTGGAAACAGACGAGAGCCCAAGAGATCATGTCCGACTCGGACTATAGTGGAGAGGAGATAAAGTAATAGAGGTCCAGGCACTCCTTGGTTCAAGACAGGAACCACAACAGCAACGTTTCGACCCCAAAAGGTCTTTGTCAAGCTGATACATACATCAATTTTACAATATATATAACAAACTTTAAACAATCACAATTATAAAAGACACTTGTGAATCAGTATCCTAAGCAAGTAGTTTAACAGCTGGAAGTAGTATACTACTTATCGGCAATACTTAATTAATTACATTAATTAGAAAGAGAGAATCTAATACTTAATTGACAAAAAAAAAAAAAAACGAGCTTTGAAAGAAAGACTTATTAATTTGTTGATACAGGAAAAAGAAATGTATATATTATTTATATATGGATACTGACATAACATCCAAGTGTATATAGGACATAAAACACACATATACAACATAAATATAATACAAAAATAAGACCAGAGTATAGGATTACAGAAATTTCCATTATCGATTAGAAATCCTTAAACAAAATTACAAGCACATCAAGTTCAAAGAGTTTTCATATATAGAAGAAAGTGTGTATAAAGAGATACTCTTAAGTAGGTTATTTTCATTATCGATTAGAGATCCTTGATCAAGATCATAGAGTAATAATAGTAATGATCCTTAACACTTAAAAACACATCAAATTCACAGAATTGTTATATATATAAGAAATTGTATATAAAAATATAACCTGAAATAGGCTAAAATTACTCATTTGGAGTCAACGTGTATATAATATCTGCATAATTTAAAACTTTTAAAGATACAAAAATTCGACTATAATCACTGTAGGTGATAAAAAAAAAAGTGTAAAGTGTATAGGATTTAAAACAGTGTTAAACTGTGTTTAAATTAAATTAGTGGCTATATATAGAATAATGAAGCCATTGGTTATGAAATTAAAATAAATACCATACAAAAAAAGGAAGTATATAAAAGATTACAAGTGTTAAAGGTGCAAACAAAGTATAAGGAAGTGTAAATAAGAAAGTATAAAAAAAGGGTGAGAAATTATGCAAACAAATAATGAAGAGAGATGACAGTAGTATAATTTTAATTAAAGAGATATCCACAAAGGATATAATAGAGGACTGTCATCTCAGTTCAACTACAAATATAATCTGGATACTATAGTGGAGAGGAGGACTTGGATGAGGTTCTCTCAGACCCTTATGAGGGCGAGGTTTCTGAGGAGGAGAACCTCATGGGGACAGAGTTTGCCCCCGCTTCATCCAAAAAGGCCCAGGATAAACCCAGACGAATCCCGCAACGTTAAGACTACCCTGGCGTTTGACCCGAATGACTTGGGCTATCCACGCTCCACTGAATGGGAGCCACAGGAGTATATTGTGCAATACCTGGTGATAAGGGTCTGCAAACCCCCCTCCTGGGAGGGCCATAATAAACTGAGGGCCAAATGCCCCCGGACCATTTTCCCAGACATGGTGGCCAAGACCCCCGAAGTCAAACCACAGATTGTACCATTTTTATCAAAAGCCGTCTAGAAGCCTAAGAAGGATTTAGACTACTCCTTACAGAATTGCCAGCAGGGCCGGCCTTAGGGGTGTGCGAGCTGTGCGACCGCACAGGGCGCCATGGAACAGGGGGCGCCCTGTGGCCGACACAGCTCACTCATGGCCGGAGTGCAGGGGAGCTAAAAGAGGTACCTGGCTGGAGGATTAATTGTTCTCCACCCGGGTCTATTTAAAAAAAAAAAAAAAAAAATCGCGGCAGAGGGGGCGGGGTTTACCGAGCGGCGGAGGCGGGGCTTATCGAGAGGCGGAGACGGGGCTAATACCTCCCGAAGCCCCTGCTGTACAGGAAGAGGGAAAGATGCTTCCCCATCAGCCAACTGCATCCACTGGAAAGAGGTAAGTGTGTGTGTGTGACTGTTTGCCTGTTTGTGTGACTGTCTGTGTGTGTGTGTGACTGTCTGTGTGACTGCCTGCCTGTGTGCGTGTGACTGTCTGTGTGTGTGTGTGACTGTCTGTGTGACTGCCTGTCCTTGTGTGTGTGTGTGTGTGTGTGTGTGACTGTCTCTGTGTGTGACTGCCTGCCTGTGTGTGACTGTCTGTGTGTGTGACTGTCTGTCTGTGTGACTGCCCATGTGTGACTGCCCATGTATGTGACTGCCTGTGTGTGTGACTGTCTGTCTGTGTGACTGTCTGTCTGTGTGACTGCCCGTGTGTGTGACTGCCCGTGTGTGTGACTGTGTGACTGTCTGTGTGTGTGACTGCTGTCTGTGTGTGTGACTGCCTGTATGTGACTGCCTGCCTGCCTGTGTGTGTCTGTCTGTAACTATCTGTCTGTGTGTGACTGCCTGCCTGTGTGTGTGACTTTCTATCTGTGTGACTGCCTGCCTGTGTGTGTATAACTGTCTATGTGTGTGTTACTGTGTGTCTGTCTGTGTGTGTGACTGCCTATGTGACTGTCTGTCTGTGTGTGTCGCTGTAGCTGTGCCATTGTTTGTGTCTGTGCCTGTATGTGTGACTGCCTTTAACTGAGTGTGTGTGTACATGCCTGTAACCGAGTTTAAATTTCCCCCACCCCTTCCTGTCAAGGCCGCACTTTGACTGACAGACGCTCACTCACTGACAGACGCACACTCACTGACGACACATACACACTCACTGACGACACATACACACTCACTGACTGACACATACACACTCACTGACTGACACATATACACTCACTGACCAACACACACATTCACTCACAGGCAGACACAATTACACACTTACAGACACACACACACACACACACACACATTCACTTCAAAATAAACACTCACAGACACACACACAGACATTTCCACTAACACTCACAAACTAATATTTTTTACATTTATTTTAAATCCACCCAGCCTCCCTGGGAAAGCTGGAGTGGATTTCTTACCAGCAGTCCAGTGTGGCTGCTGGGCAGGCAGGCAGGGGGCGCACAGGCTGAGTAAGCAGCGCTTAGTGATGCCGGGAGCCGGACTGACGTCATATTCTGGCTCCCGGCTTCATTAAGCGGCGCAGAGGAAGCTGAGCAGGAAGAGCTCAGGTGAGTATGCTCCTTCGCTGCCCGCTGCCAGCCTTGGGGGGGCTCAAAAGTGGCCAGCCGGTCAGCTCTTGAGCCCCCCAGGATGCGAGGCAAGCAAGGGATCTGCCTGGGGGTTTGGAGGGATGCTTTTTTTTGCCGCCCCCTGCAAAGTGGCGCCCAAGGCAGATGCCTTGTTTGCCTCGTGATACACACGTCCCCGGTGCCTGTGTGTGTTACTGTATTCAGGCAACTTGGTGGGAGGTGGGGGGGGGCGCCGTGAAGACTTTTTGCACAGGGCGCCTAATTGCCTAAGGCCGGCCCTGATTGCCAGGACAAGTTCCTAGACACACTAGGCCCTATTACTAAGCTTTACGAACTGCTGGAGGCAGCACAATCAGGAGAATTGTTCTGGAACACAGTGGAAAACAACTCAAATCATTTAAAGAAGTATGAAAACAATATTTAAAAGATCCTAGCATTATTAACAAAATATTTAAAGGGGGGCTGTCATTTCTCTGATATTTACACCATTGAAGGATAAATTGAAAATTACTTTTACTTTTTTGTTAACCTTTTTGCTTGTGAAGCCCCATTTCATTTTTTTAAATTTATATTAACGATTTCAAAAATTACATTACAAACCAGTTCATACAAGGCAAAAATAGGCAAACACTGCAATTGACCACGAGAACCAAAAAGGTTTTTCCTTCTCTCTGCATGCTTTCTCTATACTGGATGTCAGATGAAAGGATAGAATGTTTAGCAGTGATTGACAAGGAGCTATGATGAAGGCACCTAGTTGCAGGATAGTGCGGTAAATATTTTTACATTTAATTTTATTTTTGTCACAAATTCCTATTTATTAGCTATACATATTTGATCAGTAAACAGAACATTCAAAATCCTGGGAATTATAGTTAATAAATAATACTAGTAAGAATAATTATTAACTCAATAAACAGCAGATCATATTTCAGCAGTAACTAAAAATATTTAAAATACCCAGTTTTGCAGTTCGCTTAAAGGAAGACTGTACTCCTAGCCCCCCCCTCCTGTTTTAAAATAAAAAATGAAATAATTAAAATTAAAACAAATTACTCACCTTTCTCTAATGCCGAGTCTCCCTCCTGCCTCCAGGATGACAATCCAATGTTCCTCATAAAAGAGCATTGGGCACCTTAAAGGCATGCGTGGCACTCGCCATGATATGGCTGACTGTTCAAACACGCGTATGCGTGCGTGATGTCACGGTATGAGAACCTGAAAGTAAGATTCCCGGCTCCCATACTGGAGGGCTAGGCAGTGCAGCTTAGAGCCATACTTCCAAGCCCTCTAATTAGCTTACTATGGGTTTTTTGGGGGTTCGTGAGAGGATAGGACTGCAGGCACTATGACAACTTCAGTGTCCCTTTAAGGCAATTCCACTGCAATATTAGTTATTGCTCCCAGGCTGCGTGCACAAAATAGATTCACTTGTTTGTGACCAAATGGCTACTATAAAAGACTGGACATACCCCATTTGCAATACCTTGGGTTGTCTACTATTGCAAATGGTATGCCATTATGGGTGTAAATTTCATTCCTGGGCTACTATACACTCTCAAAGGCAACGTAACCAATCTGGCGAATTTCAATTTCAAATGTAACGTGCTATATTTGACCCTGTAACTTCCCAAAACACCATAAAACCTGTACATAGGGGGTACTGTTTTACACGTGAGACTTTGCTGAATACAAATATGTGTATTTTATTGCAGTAAAAGCAAACAGTATTATGACATTGACAGTTAAAATGTCATGTAGAACTAAAAAAATAACAGAATTTCTTATTTTCTCCCTTTTTTTATATTAAATTATGTTTCATACCTAAATATTTGATATTAAACGAAAGCCCTGTTTCCCCTGAATAAAATGATATATAACAAGTGTGGGTGCATTTAATATGAAAAAGGTGAATTACGGTTGGACAGACATGTAGCGCAAATGCCAGGTTTTGTTTACGTTTTGTTCACAACGTGTACATTTGGCTCAGTCCTTAAGGGGTTAAAGACTGCTTATTTCATGAACTTTCATGGACTGTAATTGTACTGTTTTGTTATATATTTTTTTATTTATTTGATGTCAGCATTTTAAGTACATTTGGATGCAATATTTCTACAGCATCTTATCTCTATCCTAGCATTTATAGTACACACAGATTTTTCTACCATTTTGCTGATGTACCCACTTTTTATTTTGGGGCAGCACTTTTCCTGGCAACACCTTCTGTGGATCCTACACGTAAGGTGTAGACTCACTACTCTTTTTAAGAGACGTTTTATATATCTCCAAACATAATAATCATTATAATTTATTTGTCTACATTGTTCACAAGACACCTCCTGGTACATTTAAGATTTTTTCTCTTTGTCACAGATATCCACATCTACCTGCAATGTTATAGCTCTTGTCTTTAACCCCTTAAGGATACAATTTTTGGAATAAAAGGGACAGAATATTTCCATTAGGTGTCCTTAAGGGTTTTAAAAGACACTTACAGCTCTCAGTCCTAGCTCTCTTGCTTCATCCCAGGACTAGAAGAATCCTGCACGAAGATCTGAACACTCTGTCACTCGGATCCATACAAATCCACACAGGACACGAGTTTCAAAAGGAACTGACAAACAAAAC